CTGGCACTGACCGACTCGGCTCTCCCTGATCTGTATTCACTGGGGACGCATGCTATGCCTGCCAGTCGTCTCATTGTCGGCTTTGAAGTTGTTTAATCTGTTCAGTTAAAAGTCTGACCTGGTCTTCCATAACCTATAATATTTAGGCAAAAGCAAGAAAAAAAACAACAAACAAAAAAAGATAGTTAAATGGTAAACACGCCACTTATTGTTTACCGTGTCGTCCCGGATTTCTCAGCCACTGTTTTTCCTGTAATCAATCTAACCTTGGTTATTGCCACACAAAAAAAACACAAAAACAAACAAAGACAAAAAAAAATTATACAAGGTCAAACAAAGTCAATGAAAGAAAGAAAAAAGTTCACAGGATACAAGTTTCACAGTTCTACACCAGTCCCAATCCTACCCTGCCGACTACGCCAAATGTGACCATCAGGGGGCGCTCTTAAGAATCCAAAACCACACTCCCCTTTTTTATATTATTTGGCCGGTTGTGTCCAATAAAGGAACAGAACTGGGACTGATGTATTCAAATATAGACTTTATTAAACACGAAAGGCAACAGTATGTTGGTTGGCAATCGACAACATCAAATGTTCCTGTAGGCAGCAATAGACAATTTACAATAAATAATCACAGTGAATAAAACTATCGTAATACATAAATATAAAGTGAATAAATAGATACTGCAGACTGAACGCTGTCCCCACAGGAAATATTGCACACTGCCCAGAGGCCTATTATGATAATATAAATATTGCAAACTAACAGATACAACAACACAGTCAACTTAGCAGGATATCATAGCCGTCTTCACATGACAATGGTGGCAGATTTTTTCTTCTTCAAGACACACACATACATTTACAGGAATGCAAATAAATCAAATTAACTCAGGAAAAACAGTGGCTAGTTGTACAGACAAAGACAATCCTCGTTTTACTGACCCCCTAGACAAATTGGTACGATCTGCACCGCACCAATGATGTCTTACCGGTGTGGATTACTAACGGCTGTGCACACCCCCGCCAGCGTTGCTTATTGCTGCACCCCTGTATAGGAATTAATTCTCACTGTTATACGATCGAACTTTCAGTAGACTCGTGACCAGTGAATGATACACACAATTCCCATACGCACGCCCAGACGCCAGGCCAAGATTGCTGCACCCCCATATAGGAATTAACTCTCGCTGTTATGCGATCGAAGTTTCAATAGACTCGTGACCAGTGAATGATCCACACAGTTCCCATACGCACGCACAGACGTCAGGCCGAGGTTCTCCCGTTTGCACAGCTGATACTCCAAGAAGCTTATTCTTCAATTCACGTCACACTAATTTTCTATCCATTTCTCACAACACATTTAAAGGGTTACTTGTGCCACCTGCTCATAATCAGCGCCACTGGGCGGGGCTTCACGCTACTCTTCCCATCTCAACCACCCTACTTGCTACATATATATATATATATATATATATATTAATGATGTATATATCATGATCAGGTTACCATAAGTTAGCTAACAACGTTAGTGAAGTGTTGGTCAAGTAAGCTATAGCTGCAATTTACCTATTATCTTCCAATAAACATTTACTAGACCTGGCTACATAACATATAACTACAGACTAGATTCACTAGAGGTCGGCTAATGTGTGTAAGAGTAAAAAATACAATAATTTCATTAATTTACCAGCGAGCGTAAGCACTGAAAATGAATGGGGTTCAATGCTGGAACTATCAGTGGTTGGAACTATTGGCGGCTCTACGATACGCATTACTTCCGCATTCCTGAATTACAATGGCGGTCTATGGGAGTGTCGGAACTCTCTCAATACATGGCTCTGGTCCAAACCAGTCTATGATCCAAACTCAACACCAGTTATACCAAACTTGTTTTTTTCCCAATATAATACCGATACTTTTTGTTACAGTTGTAACGATACCGATTACATTGATACTTTTTTTTAAATGGGTATGTGATATATTGATTTATTTTTTTTAGGAAAAGAGAAGAATTATCTTAATGCCCATCATCCTCAACACAAATCCATATGAACGTGTTCAAAAATCCAAGCATGGTAAGAAAATTGGGAGAAGTTTAATTTCTTTAAGGCAAGAAGCTTTTCCACTTTTAAAACACACACACACACACACACACGCACACACACACACACACACACACACACACACACACACACACACACACACACACACACACACACATTATAGTGCTGTCAAAATAATGGCATCTAACATAAAAGTCTGTAAATGCATAATGTGTGTGTAGTTATGTGAAATTATGCATATACTATATATATATATATATATATATATATGTGTGTGTGTGTGTGTGTATATATATATATATATATATATACTGTATATAGCCAACACACACACACACATACACGCACACACACACACACACAATATTTATGTATATATATATATATATATATATATATATATATATATACAAATAATTTTGACAGTACAATGTGTGTGTATACAAGTATTATATATTTTCAAACTTTTGTTAGATCAGATGCGATTTGATAGCACTAGATAATGTGCGTGTGTGTGTGTGTACATAACCAAGTATTATACATTTATAAACTTTTATGTTTGATGCCTTTAATTGAATTGATCGCACTATAATGTGTGTGTTTTAAAGTATTATATAATCAATTAAAAATTTGTTTTGGCAATTATTTAAACTTGAATGACAGACCAAGAAGTAAAAAAGATTAATCTGAAAAGTATGTAAATTATTCTATGTCTTAAAGCCCAGAGGCATATGAATATATACACATATTTAGTTGTCAATATTTTAATTAAATGTCAGTAATATTAACTAAAATTGAATAGCCTATTATGTTTTAATAAATAAAGATGTCTGAAATGTACTTTTAACCCACAAATGTGTAGGCATTTAATGATTGTTTACTGGGCATAACCAGTTTTACTAGTTTTACATGGTGATAAATGGGCCAAAGGCCGGAAAGAGCACATTCTTCTCTCAGATAATTGTCAAAAGCCAAGATCTCTTTTAGATGCTCTCCACTTTCGTCTCATCAATGGCCAATATGAAATGACTGAAGTCCAGCAGTAGTGGGTGATCCACAACCAATACTGACCTTACCTTAAATAATTAAAACACCCTCAGTTTTACACACTTTAGTATTTATTTGAAAAAGAAATCACTTTACATGATAATTCAAACATGGCGATATAAAAAAGAAACAGCATAACAGCTCTTTAATGAAAACACAAGATATTAACTCTTAAAAACATTTCTAAAATCTGTAGTTGTCAAAATGACACAGCGTGACATAATACTGACTGATATTTACTGCAAATATAACATAGTTTACAATATCCTAAAGCCATAAAGTGCTTGGATCGATATGATGGCATTTCACCATCATGGCCAATTTAAAATCCTCATTTTGTCCTCATTTTGAACCTCTTGAGACACTTTAGTGGCATCCAATTTAAGATGTGCTGTTATCATGTGAATAATATAGTTAACACTAGTTATTTACAAATGCATTAGCTTGTTGAATAAAGGTTACAGATGTACCTTTAACTATACAATCCACCAAATTATTAATGTTCAAGACAGCTCTTAGTTCAGTTTTATACACAGACTGTAGGAGTAAGACATGTAATTTCATTCCTTATTTTCCATAGAGGACAATGTTCCTTTGATGAAGACTGAAACTCGTCTGAAACACGTTTCTGTATTACGAGCAGTGGTTTTTGATGGGATCTGGGATCATACCATGATACTTGTGTGGGTCAGCTGAACTAAAGTACTTCAGACTTTGTCTTAGAACTATAGTTCTAGTGATATTAAAGTAAATCTGGGTCTTAAAGAGAACATTCAAGATTTAGTTATTTTGTCTTGAGACAGGTGAATCACAAAATGAGGTTCAGGTCATTTTCAGCCGCAAAATAAAAAAAAAACATAAAAAATAAATTAGAATTATATTTTGATTAAATGCCAAATTTAAAATTTTAAGGCAATTACAAATTGTAGCACCAAAATTCTTATTGGGGTAATGCACATAATATGAATGTATTTATACATCATGGTAGTATTTGTTGTGCTTTATGTTGATTTAAAAACGCATTACTATGATTTTTCAAATAATGGCACAATGTCAAAAATTAGAATAGCCCTAATGTCTATGCAAAATTATAATTTAAAATGTTTTCTTTTGAAATTTTTTTCTTTTGATTCTGGTATGAAATGTGACCGGGAATTGTGCTTGTAAGATTCACCTTAGTACCTTGATTGAGCCATAATTAACATCAATAACATCCTAAAATTAGAGACAATAAAATGATAACATTTAACATAAGGCACCTAAAAAAGTAAAAATAGACATGATAAATAAAACCTTGTCCTGCAAGGCTAAAACCACAAAACAGGTGAACTTTAAAAGTCTGATTGTAAAGGCATTGAAAAAAAATGCTTCTGGGGATACAGTGTCTCCTTTCAACAACATAATACTTAAGAAAATACCACTTCAAAAGCAGTAAAAGATGTCCTGTTAAAAAAAAAAAAACCTGTTACCTATAAATTTACCTGCACTTCTATGGTGCGGTCTTCATCACTGTCATTGTAAAACTTTGATAACGTACAAATAATAGTTATGGTATGCCAATGTAATGAGACAATAAATCAAATACAGAATGCCTTCTGACATAGCTATACATATATAGCTTTGTCAAAATAAGTGAATATAAAGTATGATTTAGTGGGTCAAAGTATCCATGTTATCTACGGACTTTACTTTACACGTTTTTTTTTTCCTTTTATCATACATGATTGCACAATTATAATTAACAACAAGCCAAAAAAAATAAATAAGGCAATATTTTTAAATCATACACCACTTCTAACCATTCATAACTACATCCTATTAATATCATTCATTTTAGTACATTTTTTTTTGAGTGTGTGTGATGTAATATTAGCATAAGGCCATCTAATAAAATGATTCGCTTGAACCTCGGAGCTCATAAAAAAGGAATTTATACTCATCAAATCATTCGTTGTCAAACATGGAAGTGCGACTATATGGAAAATATAAACCGTCCATTGCAATTTTAAGAACCCAGTACGGACAATATAGAGATGGAAAACGGTTCTCAGCGAAGGTCGCTTTCTGCAAACTCCTCCTTGATGGAGTGCTTGTGTATCCTGCAGTCGGGCATATCGAAGCCGAAGTCGGCCCACTCGTCTCCCCCCGTGGCCCCGCTGCGGTTCGGGATGGTGATGGTGTGACGCACCCGGAAGTGCACGGCCTCCATGACGCGCTGGCGCTGCAGTTCTCCTCCGGGGCCGATGGCCATCGTGGCCATGTTACTGCTGGAGCGGATGTAGTCGTGGCCCTGCTTCATGTCCTGCAGGCCCCTCCAGATCGCCAGCCGGAACTGCTCAGGGATCTTCAGGGCCCCAAGATCCTGAGGAACACAAGATCACAGGTAGTAAGTACACATCGTGCTTACAGTAAACATCATGCTATGAATGTTCATTGTAGAAAAAAAACAGGCCTTTGAGAATCATATCTTACTATAGAGTGCAAGAGTCGGGTTCTGGAAGTTAAAACTCTTTTAATATTTTTTATGATAACTTAAAGGGATACTCCGCTTTTTTTGGAAAAAGGCTCATTTTACCACTCCCCCAGAGTTAAACAGTTGAGTTTTACAGTTTTCGAATCCATTCAGCTGATTTCCGGATATTTGGAAGAATATCAGTAACCAGACAGTTTCTGGTCTCATTGACTCCCAAATCGGCTGAATGGATTCGAAAACTGTAAAACTCAATTGTTTAACTCTGGGGGAGTTGTAAAATGAGCCTATTTCAAAAAAAGTGGAGTATCCCTTTTAAAGACAAAACTGCTGTGAGCTACGAGGTTAACTTTTCCGCCAGCATTTTTGAGAAAAATTGCCAGTCACCGCCAGCATTTTTTGACATTTTCACAGAATATGTATGAATATCTGAATATGCAATTTATCTAAAGAACAAACAGATCCTCTGCTTTTAAACCCGTTTTATTCTAGCTTAAATATATATATTTTTTTCTTTTGTCAAGACTGCATCCAGATCGAATTCAAGAAATCAAAAATGATGATCAAAATATAGATATTAGATTGGGGCAATCAACACCCCTAATGCTTCACAGTAGCTCGTTCTGGGTCGACATTTCATTCGGTAACATTAGGCAGTTTTGATTTAAATGCTGTTTAATATTGATGATCGTTTTATTTTACGTTACGTTATATTTGCGTCTGCTTATATATTCTATCGCTTGTTTCTGCTTCTTCTTCACCTGTGCTTTTATCAGGAGACTCAGTACTCATTCAGAAGATGTCTAACAGCGCCCCCTACCCAGCGAACAGTGAAAACACAGAAAGCCGGACATATTTGTCAATGGCTGGGAAAGAGTTAATTGAAAGTATTTGGTTCTGTTGAAGCCTTCAGACTGCATTATTTTAACTTGTTTTTTAAAATAATCATTTAACAGATTAACGGAAATTGTGGTGAAACACTACATTACCCATGATCCTCTACAGAAAAGTCCACCAATTTAGAGAGTCATGATAATCAAACGCACCAAAAGAGCTCTTTACTCCGCCCACTTTAATGAAACACTGTAAATGACGTAATCGAGTCTCCACGCTTTCAAAATACTTAAATATTTCTCAATCGTGTTTAATTCAATTATTCTGTTCACAAAGCTTCATGGGATTGTAGTTCTTTAAAAAAGTGGATGGGCACTGTTGCACTCTATTACATGACATATCTATGTATCCCACTAAATTTTGTGTTGTTATACAAAAATATTTGTCCACAAAAGAGTCCTGACCAATCAGAATCAAGTATTTCAAATCTGATTTAACCAAGTGCAACATGTTCCTGCGGATCAACATCTTTGTTGATAATGGATAAACATTCCAATCATCCAATCAGATCTGACGGACAAGTTTACAGGTTATGTTAAGCTCAGGCTTACAACCAGGGTTAGATGCTTCAGCATCAGTGTTATTCACCTATCATTTCCCTCTGATTCATTTTAGGGATAAGTTGCAGGGTTAGGTTTAGGATTACATTTTCAGACAGGAATGTTGTTCCAGGATCAACAAAATATGTTGACCCTATAACTTGGCAAAATCACAGTGGCAAAAATTGGCTGGACAGTGGACACTAATGCAGTCTATAAGGATAAAACACAAATGATTCAAGAATGAAAACACCTTATAGGCAGAACTGCTGGTTTACCTCCATAGAAAGAGTCTGAAGGTGGTACACACTCTGGAGTCCCTGGGACGTGAAGTAGTCGATACAGTTTTGGCAGCCCAGGCTGGTTAAGAAACTGTTCAGAGACAAAAGGAACCCCACTAAGACCAAGCGGCTGCGTCCTGTGAATTACATATTCACCCATGGAGAACATAACAAGCAAAGCACCACGGCATTTGCATCTGCACAGGGATTATTATCAATTACTGATGGAATTAATAATGTGAGTGTATTTATACAAAATACTTATTTAAAATAAAGCATTTGTATTGTAATCATAATTATCATCAAATCTTTGATTATACAAACACCAGTTAAATATGATGAAATGTTCAGCAAAAATGAATGTAATATATGCTACCATTTAAATGTTCGGTAAAATTTATAAATGTTTTTTTAAAGAAGTCTCATATGCTCACCAAGGCTGCATTATTTGTTATATAAATACAGTAAAAACAGTAATATTGTGAAATATTATAACAATAATTTAAAATTCTTCTATTTTCATATTTTATATGTAATTTATTCCTGTGATCAAAGCTGAATTTTTAGCATCAGTCTTCAGTCACATTCTTAATTAAAAAAATTCTTTATATTATCAATGTTAAAAACACTTGTGGTGCTTAATATTTCTGTGGAACATGTGATACATTTTGATGAATAGAAAATACAAAAAAACAATCATTTAATTGAAATATATATATATATATATATATATATATATATATATATATTTAAGAATGTAAAAGTTTTAGCTGTCACTCTTAATTGAATGCATCTTTGTTGAATAAAATAATGAATTTCTTAAAAAAAATTTTTTTGAATGGTAGTTAAATGAAATGCTGCATGCAAATTTATTTTCAGAATTTGCATAGGATTTTGTTTTATTAAAAAATTCAATCAACATGCAATTACATTAATGATGCATAACAAGTTTTTCATTGTGTATTGATCTTTTTATTATAAATATAAAAAAGATTTGTTTGATACAATCAAAACAGCAAATGTAGCAAATTTAAAGCCGACAGAGTTATTTTTAAGGCTGAGCAAATAAAACAAACAAAACTACAAGAAAGTGAGTAAAGTATGTGTAGCAATTCAACATCTGACCGTAAAGTGTTTTGAAATGGCTTAATGATCACAGTATCTGATTTAATAAAGCAATTTTAGTCATTTTAAACTAAACATATGCATCTATAATTATGACATAGTTGTCATAATTATATATGCTGCCCTTAATATTCACCCTGATACATTGATAATTAAATGGAGATGGAACATTGATAGTAATAAATAAAATAAAAAAAATTGACAATGGAGTTCGTAAAATAATGCAATGTGCATGGAAAATTTTAAACTAAAACACATTTAGTTTAAAAAAAATACCACTCTATGTGCCAATATATAAGACTTATGGTTGGAAAAGTAGCACAAATGACAATGCTATAAACTTAATTAATAATGTAAACTGGTTCTGGGTGGCAGTGGACTGAAACACATAACAGGGTGAAAGTGAATCTCAAAAAAACTGAATGGAATATATCATACATGGTCATATATTTTAATCAAAAAAAAGAGAAAAAATGATAGTTTGCTTCATCAACTGCAATCGAGGATTTTTTTTAAAACCGCACATTCAAATTTAATCGAGGAATCGTGACAGCCCTAGTTATAATTAAAATGTGTAATATATTTTTTTTAAATAACATTAATTATAATAAATTATTATAACATCATAATATTTTCCTAATTTCTTATTGTAAAACTGTAATAAAAAAAAGAAATGAGTTTAAATACAATTGTAGTATTTGATGAATGCTTATACTGTAGGGAGAATTTAATGAAAAATTATGAGAATTACAAAAATAAAATACAGAACTGTGACAGAAATGAGTATTTATGGAGAAAATGTGCTTAATTATCATGTAAATCTGTCACAATGCACAAACCATTAACAGTGCTTCACCCGAAAATGTCAATTCTGACAAGTAATTACGCACCCTCATGACGTTCCAAACCCGTAAAACTTTCGCTCTTCTTCGAAACATGAATTAAGATATTTTAATGCAATCTGAGAGATTTCTGTCCCCAGAGAGATTCTGAGAGATTTATGTTTCTTATTCCCTCACATTGACAGTTACTAATTATTACAATATATGAAACTACATAGGCCTGTTTTCAATTAAAAATGGTGACATTAGAAAAAAGTTTGCCTGATTATTTTTGTCAGTCGTTTAACACTTTTATCCTAAAACCGCTGTCAAATATGAAATGTTTAGTTTAGCTACTTACATCTTATCTCACATTTTATCTCACATTTTATGACTGTTTACTGAAGGGTCAAGTTGTGCTGGAATTAGCGGTCAGCAGCTTCTGTGAACATTAAACCCGCCTACTTTGATTTGATTGGTCACCTCAAATATTTTGACATTGACGAGCGATGTTAGTCCACTGAAGCAGCTCAGATGAGAAGATCTTGGTGCTGTGCAAAAGCATTGCACCATAAAAATAGTGATAATACTATATTAAGCAATTATGTCACAACATTTATTACATAGCCTACACCTCAGAAAAATATTAAGATCTGGACCTCATAGCTGGCTACGGCCAGCAGTAAACAGAAGCTCAAGCATTCTTTCTTGTGTGCAAAAACTAATGAGGTTCATTCTCATGTTACGCAGCACTTTTGAGCTTCTGCAAGAACCAATGAGGTTCATTCTTGTGTTACGCAGCACGTTTGAGCTTCAGCAAGAACCAATGAGGTTCATTCTCGTGTTACGCAGCATGTGTGAGCTTCAGCATGAACCAATGAAGTTCATTCTCGTGTTACGCAACACATTTGGGCTTTAACACCAATGAGGTTAATTCTCGTTTCAGCATGTTTGAGCTTCAGCAAGAACCAATGAGGTTCAACAATTTATCTCGCCCATCAAGTGTCTCATCATGTTTGATCGTCTGTTTATTTTCACTGATCAATGTTTATATGTGAATAAAAGCCTAAATTAAATCTGTTCATCATAAAAAGTGATTTTTAGAAAATTTGGGCTAATCTGCTCAATTCATATGGATTAGTTTTATGATCGCTTAATGAACTTAGTAAACGCAACTACCACATTCAATATCAATAGAGGGACAGAAATCTCTCAGATTACATTAAAAAGATCTTCATTTGTGTTCTGAATATGAACAAAAATCTTATGGGCTTAGAACAACATGAGGGTGAGTAACTGATTACAATTTCTTCATTTTTGGGTGAACTATCCGTTTAAAACAAATCAAGCCAAATGTATTTTTTTCTTTTTGATTTTGGGGTGTACCAGACATGTTTTTGTGAGATTCACTTGATGAAAACTGCAAAGGCCATATAGGCACCTCACCACCCCCTACCAAGCCCAATGTGATAAATAAATAACTGCATGTAATCGGCTGTATGTATAATGATGTAAAATGTAAACACATAAAGTGTTTGAAATTTGAATATACATATTAATGAAAAGGTGTGATTTAAAGTCAAAATGTTTCTCTGGCCAGCAGAGAAATATTTTTAAAAAGATAATACTCTTATGTACAAGTCTGAAATAGGAACCTCTTTAAAAAAAAAAAAAAAAAAATTCATTACAATCAAAATTCTCTTTTGTGCATTAGCACAAAAAAAGGATCAGTATACTGTAACTCGACAACTGTAACTATGTAAAGATAGAAGATGAAGTCGTGGTGAAATGGAGATGCATCTAAAGAGGCATTTTGAATGATTTAAGGTTGCTCTTTATCTCTAAATTACTTTTTACACCTGTTCACTTCATACATTTTTACTGATCGAATAGATATCTGATTTGTTAAAACGGTTCCATTTACACATGGCCACATAAATGTGTCTCCGCAAAACGGATATAAATCTGATCTTCAATTCCCGTGCTATATGCAAATTTAACGGAGTTCATGTCAATGAATGAAACAGATAAACGCTGCATTTTATTTATCAATAGAATCAATAGGACCGCAATAGGAGAAAGGGCGGCATCAGAATGCATGAAGTGACTAGGTGTAAAAAACTCCTAGTGCACATGTGTCAAAGTTAATTCACTGTCCTGCAGAGTTAAGCTCCATCCAGCTCCAAACCACCAGTTTCTAGTACCCAAAAGACCTTGAATAGCTGATTTAGCTGTGTTTAATCCACAAGTTTCCGAGGGGCGCTCCTGTAAAAAATAAAGTGGGTGAAACTTCTGGTGAGGCGGCGGAAGTAGCATTCCAATGGTATTTTTTGTGTTAGTTAGCGAAGAGGCTAGCTGTTTTTCGGAGAATTATTTTACTATTTAAAGACGCAAATCTTTATGCGAGATGTCGTTACGGAGCTCAGGGACAACATGTGCTGTTCGTGGTTGTATGTATAACCGGACTAAACTAATTCAGTGGTTTAAAGGTATAGAGGAGGATTTTCTTTTTCCGGGTGGGTAGTCTATACTATTGGTCCACCTAAGTGTCAATCATTCTGGTGATATGTTTACGTAAGGCCGTCGTACGTGCTCATCCCTATGTAGTTTTCACTTTCAGGTGTATTATGTCGGAGTTGCGGTTTCAGCCATTCCTTTGAAAATGGCTGAGGGTCGAAACAGAAAAAAATTTATACGAAGTGTATGATAAGAAGAGAATATAGAAACAAGACCAGAGAGATTTTGGGTTAATATCACATGCTGGCGTGCGCTAAAAGCACAGGTTGGGATTCTCACTGATGCCGCAGTCGCGAAGATTCTACTAGACAGGTAAAGTTTGTCATGCTATTTGGAGAAATCAATTTAAAATCACTAGTAAAAGTTAATGCAAGCTACTTAGCAATGCTAGCCCTGGCACAAGTCATGCACCGCATAGTCACGGTAAACATCTCAATTTGTCTAAAGTAGCCTTTTGACCAAATGATAAATGGTATCACCCTGAAATATTCTAAAACCTTGTGTGTTCATGTGTTCATATTCTAAAACCTTGTGTGTTTATACACAAATGCAACAAGCTACTTCTCCATTACATATGCAACTATGTATAAAAATAACGTATTATTAACAATGAGACATATTAGGTTAAGGACCAACGTAATAGCACTGCTTATATGTTGCCATGTAACGTAATTGCGATTTGCAAAATAGTTTCCTCAGAACGTATTTCGTGTGATACAGGGTTGCACATACCATGTCTTGAGTCCTCGGTCACTCAATCGATCAGTATAATAAGTAAATAAAACACGGAAGGGCATTTGACATGTTTTCTTTTTTATGAATGTTTTTGAGTTAGTTTATAATTTGCAACATAATTGTGTAAGGCGTAAGACGTTCCCTCTCGGGAGCAAGAGTGTTGTGTTTGTCCATGTGCATTTTTAAAAAAAAAAAAAATTGGAGAGGGCAGGTCTTCTCTAAAATTCGGAAAGATCCTCCGCTACACCTTTAAACGTGATTGTTTTGAACATAAGCTGAAAACGAAATCAGAGTGATCCTGCCAGAGCCCGTCTCTGATCCTGCCAACGACTGTAACGTTAGTTTCCATCAACTCCCAAAATACGACGAATTTTCCTGTGTACATTTGTTTAAATTCTTAATATTTTATAAACTCTATCAGCATGTGATTGGCTGTTCGCTACTGATGTTACAGCTAAACTCAGGATCAAAGCCTGTGTTGACAGAATACCAAATATGCCAGTTAATGTATTCAAGTAGCACATTCATTTGTAATTTTGAACTCCAAAACACAATGACTAAGTGTGTATTTTTTATTTTAATTGTTTGTCAGCTCGCACAACTGTCTGTCACCATGCCTTGATGAGTATTGATTATTAATAATGTTATTATAATACTCCCAATCAACTATTTCACCCTTTTTAATTTCGTTGAGGTTGTGTTCCCACATCGTTAGCTAGTTTGGATCGCTATAACTTGAATAACTGTCAACTGTTGAATGAACGAGTGTCAAGCATGTCAAGTCACGCTTTGTTTACTTCGCGCCCACTTTTGACGCAAGGCCTCATGGGGCGTAGGAAACTTGTGGATAAGGGTTGGAGCTGAGCTCTGCTGGCCCTCTAAAACTGAATCTGACACTCCTGCTCTATAGAATAAGACAACCTGAAGCCACTCTTGATGAGACACATGAGGCTAATTTCAGTCGCACTGTTGTAAGAATCCATATGAAAGAAGCTGAATATCATTTGTAGTCTGTGTACGCGTGTGTCAGGTTGGTGCTACTGCAGGGTGAAGTACCTGACGAGGCTGGGGTCGGGGTTGTAAGGTGGGGGAGGGGTACAGTGAGAGGTGGACACTATAGACTGTGACGGGTGAGCTCCATTCACGTCGCCGTTAGACTGCATGTGGTGTCCACCCAGCATGTTGGTTCCTGCATGAGAAAATCCACAACAGCCAATCGTCAAAACCTAAATGAACACTCACCAAGCATCAAATGAGCATCACATGGGATTTAGAGATCAAATAACACTTTGCTATTAGCCAAATGTCTGGTAGATTTGCTATGCAATGCAAATGTCATTGCTAGAACAATAGTCTCGCCTTCATTGAACGAAAGCAAATCAAAATACCCTTGTAAAAAAGAAGTGCGCTTGATTGTATTGAATGTGCAATTGTAGTGTACTTCAAATCTTAAAAACTACTTGCAGTTATTACTGAAATACAAAGGTCACTTCAGTCTAAGTGCACTTTGTAATAGTTTTAAATGAATGTATATTTTAAATGTATGTTTTAGTAATCTTTTGCCGAAGTACTTGATTAGAATTTTAACTAGTGTTATTTGAGATTAAATTGAAAGTTTATGGGCTCTATCTTGCACCCGGCGCAAATGACTTTATACACTGACGCATTTATCATTCCTATTTTGCACGCGCGCAAAGCGGGTTTTTTTCCTCCACAGACGCACGTCGGTAAACTAGGAAATTAACATGCGCTCCCTGGGCAGGTTGGCGCAAAAAGGAGGCGTGTGTCGGCACAAACAATTCCTAGTGCTATTTTGCAGTTCCAGAAAACAATTGCGCCAATGACCAGAAAAAAACCTGGTCTAAAGTCAGTGGCGCGTTGCGCGTTGTTCATAATGCTATTTTAAGCGCGCCTGCTTGGCCATAATACAGAAAGTGAACAACGCGCATACACTGTAGATGATTCTCTCAGCTTCACAGATGCATTTTACTTTTTGCAAATGATACATTATTATAAGAAAAAATATATAAACATGAGGGAAATCATTGTTGTGTCCATGATGATGGGAAATATAGGCATAAAACTTACACATTTACCCAAGTTATTATATGCATGTTTAACAGAAGCTAATTTGGGTGGGTTTGTCCCATTCCCAATGTCCCTTCTCTTTCTTTCACGGCCCTTACGAGAACATCGAACCGATGTGAACCGATTGTGAAGTGCGCCTGGTTAATGCGCCGTTAAAATAGAATTGCGCCATGGAACAAGCGCACCTCGTTCATCACGCTCTTAAAGGGAATGTGATATGACGCTCTTATTGGTTTATTTCCGTTACGCTCAAACCACTATGAATAATGAAGCTACTCCAGACCAACCCCTTTTAGATTTGCGCCAGGCGCAAGACGCATTTATCCCGCTGGGAAAATAGTTATAATATATTTTAATTGTACTAAATATATTTTAATTGTACTAAATTGCAACTACATTATCACACATGTGCAATTATGAATATATTTAAACACATGAAGTACAAGTTTCAAATTACATTTTTTTTTTTTTTTAGCCTTTATTTAACCAGGAAAAAAATCCCATTGAGATTACTAATCTCTTTTTCAAGGGAGTCCTGGCCAAGACAGCGGCACAGATCACAACAATTTACACTACAGACAATTTTATAACAATTTCATAAGACTATTTAAAACATTCACAAACCATAGATTTAATTTCCAAACCTTTGAGCAAGTGTTTAAATTGGCCTATTGAAACCAGGTCCTTTTAATTTCCAGAAATTTTGTAAATTGTTCCATGTTGTGGGGGCAGAATAGTGAAATGCCACCTTACCAGCTTCTGTGCGGACATTTGGTACAGACAGTAGCAGTGAGTCCTGTGAGCATAAAGAATACAGTCCAGCCCCCTTTGGTTGAATGTATTCACACAAATATGAGGGGAGCAGACGCAGAATACCCTTATAAATAAACATATACCAATGACTGAGTCTACGATTTTCCAGTGCTGGCCAGCCCACACGTGTGTAAAGTTCACAGTGGTGTGTGCGAGGCTTACAGTTTGTGATGAACCTCAATGCGGCATGATAAACAGAGTCCAGTAGTTTCAATAGTTGGATCGGGGCATTCATATAAATGAGGTCACCATAATCCAGAATGGGTGTAAATGTTGCAGCTACAAGTTTTTTTTTTCTAAAGTAAAAGCCAATTTTTAGTCTTAGTTTCCTAACCAAATGTTCAACATGTCCTTTAAAACTAAGACTGTCATCAATTAAAATACCTAGATATTTAAAAGATTTAACTCTTTCAATTTCTGCCCCTTGAAGAGTGACAATTGTTCTACAATACACATTAAAGTGTATTGTAGTCTAAATGCTTGTCAGTACAGTTGGGAGTACACTATAACCACATTTTAAAGACAACAGAATTATGAAATTTTATACAAAGATGTACTTGTAATTACTACTTGAGTGGGTAAAAAAATAACCTCCAAATAAAGTAGTTTTTAAACTTTAACTTTTTTTTAAAGAGTTGGTTGGAGATGAACTGGTTGTGGAGGAGCTTACCCATATGTGACATGGATGCAGAGGGTCCTGCGCTCTGCTGAGTCTGTTGTGTCACCAACTGATTCACTGAGGGAAGCTTGCTGATGGACCCGTGCATCTTGTTCATGTTATTGAGTGTGCCATATGGAGACGGAGAGGTAATATGACTCCTGTGAATCACATGAGAGGAATCACATATTTTATAGATGCTGAAGAATAAGCTGAAAGAGGCCATTTCATGGACAGCTGAAAATGCTTTTGATACGTAGACATACTTGATTATTCACAGTGCAAAGCAGTGGTGTAGTCTACGTGATACACAGGTATACACCGTATACCCACAAGAAAATGTCAAAGAAAAAGAAAAAGTGTTAAGAAATTAGGACAAAAGTATTGTAATTTTCATAGTGTAATATAAAATTAAAATGTAATGTAGACTGAGACTCTATATCATAACTAAAAAGATGTTTGAGCCCTCTTTAGGTAGGCTACAAGTCAATGCTTTTTCGTTGTTCAATGTGCACAGGTCATGGGTCAAAGCCAGTTGAAGCTCTTAATTTTGAGCTCTCAACGTGCACCATATTGATGCATTTAACCTTACAGACAACATGCCCAAATTTAAATGACACATCCAACCCCCGGACATTTGAAAAGCTTGCTACGGCACTGTCCATATACCCACTTAAAAAAGCGTGAAGATTCGTAACAACATCGTTTTGTGAAAGAACTTTCATTCATAAATTCACCCGCCTCCTGTGTTTGCGCAGCAACACGGATCGAATCACGGAATCCAGTCACAAATGTAACTTGCCTACTGTAAAGCCGAATGTCACGCAAATTGGCCATTTTTGAATGAATAAATCAAAAGTAGGGATGTACAATGAACCAAATCTCGATATGTACTAGTGTCTATGAATATTAAAGTAAAATATTAAATATTCACTACAAAAAAACTAGACTACACCACTGGTGCAAAGCCCTCTCATCAGTTCACAAAGCCATGTACTGAAACTGAGCTGGCTTGTATGACATTTTATTTATGGCAGTTATGATATTACAATCAACAGCAAATCATAACAGAGGTCATTTACATACAGTTATTCAACCCTCATTGCAAATTATGTTTATTGGCAAAATTTACTGACTTTCAGCTGTTTGCAATGAACAAATCAAACAAAAGTAATTGTTTGAAAAAATAGCTAAAAAAAATTGGTTTCCCAATTTCAACTGAAAATGCAACTTTTAATGACTTATGCTGTCTCAAAAGTTTTCAACTTCTTGAATCCCTCACAACAGCACAAATCTGCAAAACAGATGTTGTCTCAAGCACACCTGATGCCACTAATCAAGGGCTTCATTAGTAGCTCCAGACGTGCTTGAGCTAGAACACATTAAATATCTGAACTGGCTAGGTTTGTTGAGTGCCACTTTTTACTACATGTTAGAAATATGGCCAAAGAAGGGCCATAAGTCAAAAGAATGGTCACGAATGTAACTATATAGTGTGTCTTAAAGTTACAGTAGCAAAAATGCCTTTTTTGTGCAAAACTTGACTCAAAAAATATAAAATAAAACAGAGAAGTGTTGTATAAATATATATACAGTACTGTTCAAAGTTTGGGGGCGGTAAGATTTGAGGTTGGTAATGTAAAGTCACCTAGGCTGCATTTATTTGATCAAACATACAGTAAAACGGTAATTTTGTGAAATATTATAACAATTTAAAATAACTGTTTTCAATTTGAATATATTTTAAAAATGCAATTTATTCCTGTGTTGAATTTTCAGCATCATTACTCCAGTTTTCAGTGTCATGTGTCAGTGATCCATCTTCAAATCCTTCTAATATGCTGATTTGCTGCTCAAGAAACATTTCTAACTATTATCAATGTTGAAAACAGTTGTGCTGCTCCATATTTTTGTGGAAACTATTTTTTTTTTCTTCCCAGGATTCTTCCAGGAACGATTGTCAAATGATTGTCAAATGCTGATTGTCTGTCACTTGACTCTGAACTTTTAAATATATGCATATGATGCATATATAAACACTCACTGTCTCTGTAGGAGCTGCTGTTGTTGTTGTCTGTATGAGTCCACTAACTGCTGTGGTACAAACTCCACAAGTTCCAGACTGTCCTTTATCTTCATCAGGATGTCAAAATTCTCCCGACCACGCACCTGCAAATCAATCCAAATATATTACAATCAAGGTCAAGGTCAAGGTCACTTTTATTTAAATAGTGCCTTAAAACAGCATTACTGCTGACCAAGGTTCTTCACAGAACACTATAAATACAATTGTCGTACAAATTACATATAAAATTTTGACTTACTAAGGCTACATATCCACAGTTATGAGTAGGCCTGAGAGAAAAGATGCATTTTCAGAGCTGACTTGAATACATGTAAAGAAGAAGCTAACCTAACAGATTGAGGTAACGAATTCCACAGCCTCGGATCAAAAACGGAGAAGGCTCTATCACCTTTAGATTTCAAGCAAGAGTGTGAGACAGTTAATAATTTGTCAGAGGACGATCTTATGGCTCGTTTCCACTGAGTGGTACGGTACGGTACAGTTCGGTTCGGTACGCAATTATTTGCGTTTCCACTGTCAAAAGTTGTGAATGGAACCAAAAAGCCGAACCGTACCGTACCACTTTTTGGGTACCCTTCCGTTGGGGTACCTAGCACAGTGAAAGGGTACTAAAAGGTGGAGCTAGACTCACTGCAGAACGGTGATTGGTGGACAGAGTATCGTCACTCACGCGTGCTACAAGGGCATTAGAAGCATACAGTTGAAATTTAATTCTATTGTTATTGTGCCACGAAATGTAGTTTCTCAGGTGAGAAAGTAGTTTTTGAAAGCTCAAATCTGTGGTTTATTTATAGATTTATGATAATTTGACTGAGATCCATTCCAAGTGATCACCGGACGCTCGCGCTCGTATCCCCCGCCTGGAACAGCCTTTCCTCGGCTAGTCGTTCTGATGTTTGCCGCTGTCTCGGACGTCTCTGTAGTGGTTAAACATGAGATATAATTCGTCTTCTATAAACCTAACAGGTGATCTTTGGTCTTGTGAATCTATAATTCGTTTCCTGGCCAATAGTATTGGCAGAAGGCTATGTGAAGTTTCATATCTTTGAGCGCTGAATTTGTATATTTGACTGACTGAATTGTTTCTTTATGTTATTTAAACTTTACTGTATATCTTTTTGTTCCTTTTACTTATACTTTTATAATGGCTATTATTGATAAAAACTGAAATTCAACAAAAGAGATAGTTTTGTATTTTTTTTTTAAATTTTATTACAAGATCATCTGTTGTTTATTGCAACATTTGTACCAATGCGATATGCAATACATTACATATTGCCTGGAATATGTTTAATATTTTTAAATTTAAACGAAAAGAGGCAGGGCTGTGTTTTATATTTAGTTTTGTTATATATATAACGTTACATACATGCAGTGAATATAATCAATAGGCTATGCATTGCCTGAACCACATTTTCGTGCTTTATAATGTTAAAAATGTATTGAAATTAAATCGAAAAGAAGCAGAGTGTTTTATAAATATTTTGTTTTATTGTTGCCTAAAATACAGAGATACATTGTTTTGTTTTGTATTGTTGCCTAAAATACAGAGATAACCGGAGTCGCAGAGCCAGAGAGAGCCGAGTGCCGCGTTCAAGAACGCGCTGTTCCATTAGCAGAATTACTGGACTCGCGTCCTCGGGATCATTCTCCTGAGTCGGACTTTGCGTTGGCTTCTTGGTATTGAGAAACGCCTAATGCCAGCGCTTGTTTCTAGTGACAAACATGCCGAGAAGCAAGAACAAGATCTGCTTTCTGCCATTCATTGTTGTTTATATATCGCTTTCTTTGCGCGAAAATGATGTCGATCGCTTCTTTCCAGCTACACCATGCCTATCAAGTAAGGGTACTGTTGACGGTGGAAACGCAAGTAGGATCATGTTGTACCCGACCTGACCCGTACTGTACTGTACCGTACCATACCGTACACCTCAGTGGAAACGAGCCATTAGAGTTCTTGGTGGAGAGTATGGACAAATAAGGTCTGAGATATAAACTAAAGCAAGACCATGCAAGGCTTAAAATACAAAAGTCAAAACCTTGTACTCAATTCTGTACTTGACCGGTAACCATTGCAAATGTGATAAAATAGGGGTGATATGCCAACGCATTCTCATCCTTTAACGTCATATAGAACGCTATATGCGTTCTATATGACGTTAAAGGATGAGAACGGGCTGGATATGCTCACGTTTTTTCTTCCCCATTAAGAAACGAGCTGCAGCATTTTGTACCAGTACATTGCAAGTGCATTAGTGAAAACTGGTTGATACCAGCATACAAAGTGTTGCAATAATCCATCTAGTGTTGCAATAAGTGTTTCAATTTCTGTAAACTCCTGAGCTGGAAAAAACTGCCTCTGACAACAGAGTTTATTTGCTTGTCAAATTTTAACTCAGAGTCGACAATGACACCCAGGTTTTTTTTACATTGAGTGCGAATATTGGCTTTCAGAGGTCCTAAATTAGAGGTCAGGCCATCTACTAAATGGGAGGTGTCAAATAAAATAACTTCAGTTTCATTTTCATTTAAAGCAGCTCTATGCAGTTTTTTTTTTTACCTTAACTGAATAGCTATTTTCAGGTTGAATGTTGTGCATCTCTCCCCCAAGTCTCTGAGTGCAGAGACATGTCTGCGTAAATGCTATTTACGACAGTACAAGTATTCCACAGCGACTCTAGGACTCTAGTTTGACAAAAATGGAATTCTTGCAAAGTGCTGCTTTAACCTGTTAACTGTCACCCCCCTTTTTTGAATAGACATGAAAATGCACAGTTCGAACTTAAATGGTTGTAATTGAAGAATGCTTTGGAATATAGACATATGATTGGTCTTGTTTTAAAGAAGACATTTGGCAGATTTTTGTAGAAGTGAAATAAATTAAGAAAGTGAAACAGAAAAAAAGTTATAGAAGTTTGAGTTTATGGAAATGTACAATGTAAAAATATTAATTATTCATATTTTACATAAAATATATATTTTTCAAAACCTGGGCTACTCTAAAATGGCAGAAAGATCAAAGCCAAAAATCTGAACAAGTTGTGTTTCAAATTTTAGGTTGATATCTCAAAAAATGAGCTTTCAGTAAGATTTTGTTTGAGCGCAGTACCAAACTTTTTCACTAGGGCACAATCAGACTCCATTACTGCCCATATAAGGGCGCCTGCATTTCCATTCGTGTTTTAAGTGATATGAACCATTATTTTCACAATTTTCATACAATTTCTGAAGTAGAGATCCTATTCAGAAGTAGTATGGGAAGTTTGGCAGATTTTGATATGAATTGAACCTCTAAGAAACACATACAAAGAACACGCATGTAAGTCATAGCTAGCTGCCACGTCACAAATGGTGAATTTATTATTTTTTTCTTGATATTTCAAACTTTTCAGACCTTTTTTTCCAAAATAATTGAATGGATTCTATCTTTTGAACTTTTGGCATGAAAACAAACTGAGGTATCTAGCATTTTTTCATGATTTTTCATGTTTACTGCTATTTTAAAATAAAGGTCTGAACACGCCTTATGAGTATGAAAATATTCTTGTTTTATATTGATAAATTATGGCTCCTCTGTAATATATTTTGAAAATCAGTCACCAAATATGGAAACTAGAGATTGTAAGCTTTCAATTGATATATAGTTTGTCGATATTATTTAAGGTATTTACTAAGATATTATTGTTTTAAAAATATAGTGGCAAACGTCCCACCTGTGGGACGGTGACAGTTAAGTGGTTTTAACTGAAGGAAATTATCACCCATCCAACTTTAAATGTCATTTACACAGGCTAATAAATCTGATAAGGACTAAGAACCAGATTTTATTGGTATGCACAACTGTATCATCCGGATAAATATGATAAGTAACCTGATGAGATTCAAAAATGTAATGAAGAAGGAGCATATATAATGAAATAATAACTTGAGACATTTGTTATTGGACATAAAATTGCATGGTTCCACACTCACTGGTATGTAATACATCTCTTCTTCTCCATGTCGCCTCTTCTTGATGTTGATGGAAGGCCCCGTAATATTGGCTGGATTCTGCTTGAAGTCTGTAAATTCATAAACAGAATCTCCAGTTTTAACCAGAGATAAAATAACTAAGGGTATGTTCACACTTGCACTTTGGTTTTCTTTGTTCTTTTAGTCCAAACCAAAAAATAAAATAACATATTTAGTCTTGGGTCATGTAGCATTCACACTGTAATTTTTAACAACAAACCTAAAGATGCCAAACAAAAAAAACCTCTTTTATGACGTGTATTTTGCTACGGACATCTTGTGCGTACATATGTATTTTTACCAGTTGAGAACTGTAAAGGAGTCAAACCAGCAACAGGAATACCTCCGGTGCACTCAAATTAAGATCTGCTGCGAGGAGATTGTGTTTCTGATGCCTGTACCAAACTCTAATGGGCAACGTAGCTCCTATGACGAGAAAAATTCTTGAGCATTCTGTCAACAAACCCAAAACAGGATGATGTTGTGACATCACGTCCTGTTTTGGGTTCTTTTATATGTCTTTGATCCGTGTTGCGTTCATATTTCAGTCGGACCATGGCAGAGTTCTTTTGGAAGTGGACTGAGACTTTTCTTTTCAGGGATTTCAGTGTGCTTGTTTGGTGCGCACCAGGGTTCAGATGGCAGTGTTCACACTTATTCAAATGAACGGCACTAACAGAGCAATCACACCAGGGTACGTTTTAATCGAACCAAACCTGCCAAGTGTGAACACACTATGAGAACATTTAAAAGATTAGAAACTTATTTTAAATATGATATGAAGAAAGCAATGCATTCATGGCTTACTTCGTTTATTGGCATTTCCATTTTTGGCCACGCTATCATTTAGCGCCTGTTGCTCCCTGAAATGATCCTCATCTGCTTTGCGGTCACGACCCGGACACGCACAAATCCGGCCCTCAAACGAACGCCTACCGAGAACCTGTCCACTGTGGGAAAAGATGGTAGAGTTCAGCTTTAACTTTTGGCATCACCAAACTGAATCTACCCATTCAGTTTTCCAAGTCATGTTTATAATTTGCATGTTGTTGTCATGCAGTTCATAGTTAAGAATTCATAGTGCTCATTTTTAAGTACATTTTGTTGACTTCTGTTTGTCTGAAGCAAAATAGTTTTTCAGTTTTTCAGCATGTGACAAGCAAGTAGTATTCATTGCTGAGGAAAACAGTAAAGGCGTTCACTCACTCTCGTGTCTCCAGCGTGATGATGATGAGGATGGGTCTGCGGTTCATTCCACCGACACAGCTGCTGTTGCACATGAAATTATATAGAATGGTTGTGAACTCAGTCCCCACCTTTGAGAAAGAGAGACAAAGAGAAACATATTCAGTTTCTAGCATTGCATTATGGCAAATATAGCATATCGTATGGCATTGGAAAGTCAAATTCACTTTAATAATTGAATTTAGCTTCACTCAGCAACACTGAAATTAACCAGTTCAAAAAACTGATATACGTAGTGAGATATCAGTCAATAATGTTCAAGATGTCCTTTTTTTTTTAAATGCAGTGTTTTTTAGTCAGTCAATGTTTTTGAACACTTAATTAATTCATTTAAATAAATGCTTAAAAAGAATCAGAAATGTATTTATTTAACAATAGCACAGACAAAACGTAAGAAATATGTACCTCTAGGTGGCGCCACCAACTTGCCATTAAACTCAAAACAGTCAACAGAGGAAGGAATAGAGGAATAACTACACAGGTATGGGCTCTATGCAAAACTGCACTACTTCCTGAACTTAAGCCAGCTCCTTGCTTCCTGTCTTCCATTATTGGCCAATTTGATTAATTCAGGTGTGCTTGACCTCAGTAGTCACGGCAAAAATAATCAGACACACCTGAATTAATCAATGTGTCCAATAGAGGGAATGCGCGTGACATCACCGTCGGCCGGCGTGCCTGCAGTTCCTCACAGTGAGTGGCAAAAAGACTGAGCGGCTGTATATGTGTTCAGCGTGAATGCCGCGAAAAACAAACACAACACACACAAATAAATTGGGAAAGAGTTTTGCGATTGACTGTAGGCCCACAACTAGATTTGACAAAACATCGGAGGTATATTTTTACAGACTGCTATAGAAAGAGGAGCAAATGGATCGCTGCAATTCACAGAAACAACTGGACTCCAGTCAGCGAAAGGTGGATTTGCAGTTATCATTTTGTGTCAATATGCTGAATTTAGCTGTAAAACCATACCCATATATTTTGTATTGTTATATACATTAACAGCTCATCAATTAAATAATTATCATTGCATATTCTGAATTATATTTTTTTAATAAACACTGACCAAAAAACGTATAAAGTTTTAGGGCTGGACGATATGATATATATATATATATATATATATATATATAGGCTATATATTATAGCCTATATATATAGCTATATATAGCCTATATATATAGGCTATATAACACTGATATAAGTGATAACCCGGATTTAGACCTACCTATATTATATTTATATAAAGCGTTCACAGGCAAATGTGCTTTATGTTTAGGTCTATATTGCCTTTATTTCCCCGGTGTCGAAATCAGGCAATAAATGTCAGGCAAAACGATTCCTGGCTGCATGTCAATATCCATGGATCACTGGATCTTTAGTAAGTTGTAAGGAACACTATTTTGAGTCCAACATTTAAAATTGTTCGATTTAGTTGCATTTCCGCAGTTTTCCCCTATTAAATCCAGTCACGCAGCAGATCTTTTGCCACTCGGTCAGGCTGAGGGGGGTTGTCACGCGGGAAAGTCACGTGTCAATGCATTCCCTCTATAATGCCAGACAGGAAACAAGAAGCTGGCTGAAGTTCGGGAAGTAGTGGAGCTGTGCATAGAGCCCATTGTTACTGAGAATAATCCTTTGGCTATTTATAGCCAGTCAGAACATGTTAATCGTCCTGAACCAAGAGATCATTGCATGGTTTCACACATTTTTAAACAATCAATCATGTATATGTGTAAATTTGTGCACGCTTGTTTCATGAGAGTATGTGCATGAATGCACAGTTTGTTTGTGTACAGTATGTGTGCTTTTGTGACTGCACATAGAAAACCAAAGAAATGTTCTCTCTAAAGCATTAAGCACGCTAAACTTGTACTTCAAGCTGTTATAAATTTACTGTAAACCAGTTTCTTGGGGCTTATTGCTTTAATGCATGATACGACACAAAAGAGTGTGTTACTATTGGCACGTCTGTAAATCTCCACACACACACACACATACACACACACTTGTGCACACCAGAAAGCCGCTTCAGACAGCGCTTGAATGAACAAAAACACACAAATGTATGCCAAAATCGCTGTTTTGTAGAGTATCCTCACAAACACTGTTAAATTTAGTTAGTACATAATGTACGTAGAGTTGTGAGAAAAAAAGATCCCTGTCATGTGCGTCAGGTCTTAAAGTGACAGCAGCCTATAACCCAGTGCTGTGATGTCTCTGATTAATGTTAATCAAAGAACAAAAGAGAGAAAAATCACTCTTGACTGAATAACATTTGTAGCTTTAAGAAGAATTTATCTATATTGAATTTATAATTAATACATTGAAGACTGTAAAGTGATGGATAACTTTATTCAATTTCTGTATATATCCTACCTTTTAGACCTACTTAAAAATCTTAAAGCACTGTTAACAAGGTTACATGGGTATAAATAGGGATGGGCACAAGTACTCGAGTACTCGGAACGTGACAGCGACATTCGGTCGATCATGAAAAAGAAGACTTAAAAAAAAACCTGACTGGTTATTTCAGCATTTTGGGTGGTATCTGAGGTTAGCGTTAGACAGCACGCCTTGCAGACCGGTGAAATAAAGTGAAGTGGATTTGAAATGCATAGACCCCTAGATAAAGTTAAAGGGACACCAGGCAGGAATCCCGTTTTTGTCAAACAGCGACTCCTAGAGTCGCCGTGGAGTACTTGTATAGTACATTGTGTTTAATTTGTTGTTTAATGAGATCTAGTATTTGTTGTTAGTGGTGAGAATTTTCACGTGATTAAATACATAGATTCGACAATTATCCCCATGAACTTTAATGGTCCAGAACTTTTGCCAAGTGTGTCATCTGGGTTCAGGGTTCTAATCCTTGCTAGTAGTAGTTTATTTTAAAACTGATTTTTTATTAGTGATTGTATATCAAGCAGGGACACATTTTTTGTGGTTTTGTGATTTCACCATAACAAATATAGTCTCCCAGTCCCCGCAAACTGATTGAAGTGTGCGTCCGTGACTGTGCGCGTCACAACCAGACTGTAAAAAAAGATGGACGACGCCCCTTCGCTCTTTTCCATCAGAGAGAACTGAAGGCGCCAGTGTCTCGATATGACGCTGACATCTTGGAACTTGAGTCTGCGCACTTGCGTGTTTCGGGACCAGTCATGCGCAGTCGTGAGCAGGAAGTAAAGCCGCGAAATCAAGGCCGCGCCCTCATTCTCTCTGAATCAAACGCAAGCACACACCCCGCACTTTCATTAAGTGTCCTCTGTCTGCTTCGTTCTTCTCCAATGATGTCTGCTGATTGCCGAACCTCGTTAAAATAAGGTAAATACAACTACTAACCACATAATCAACATTATTAAAAAAAGTCCACTGGTGCTTCAGTGACTACCTCGCACAGAGAACCTGTCAATCACAGCTGTTTATTATACAAACTTATTTTAAAAACGAACACTTGAAATTACATCAACGTGATAGAAACTACAGTAAATGACAGAAACTATCTTTGGAAAAAGGATATGTGAAGTGTAATTTAATTGTTTAGTTGGTCTTGCGTCCCATTGAATAACATGGGGAGGAGGGGGTTATGAGCTACACTAGGTCCGGTCACAAGGGAGCGATCGAGACGTTTTGGCTTCACTTTTGAGGGCTTGTGCGGCACGCTTGGTCACAACAGAACACTGGCCCTCATTTATCATTCTTGCGTAGAAACGGCCGTATATGTTGGCGTAAGATTATGCTTACACTCCTCTCACCGCCTGATTTATGAAGCTGTGCGTACCTTTGAATTTTACCCTTGATAAATCCCGCGGCCGAAAATGATCATCATTAGAATAACGCGCCCCTAAATATTCAAGTCTCTGCTCCCCCCACGCCCTTATTTTACGGCATGGACACACGGAAGACGGCAAATAAGAGAAACTTCTCCGACGTGGAGCCGAAATGACCTATCACAATGCATTATTTCACAGCACGTCTGTTGAATCAATATTCAGTTTCGAATCACGTCACATGTATTATAGTGATGATGATGATGTGATGTGAAGTATCATTCATTCACATTAATAATTGCATGACAATTTGTAATATTCGTATTCTTATTCTTATTATTGTTATTATGATTTGTATTAATGACGCTTATTGTTATTCATAAGAAGGATGCCGTTATTATTTGTATTATTATTATCATTTAAAAGAAGAAGAATGTATTTTTTATTATTTTGTCAGTCTGAATAATTTTTTGGTCATTGAAAGCCTTTCATTACCGAACCCAGTCCGTGCGCACCTGCCGGGGATAATCCTGAAACGTCAGGGTAAAGCGCACAAATCAAATGCTTTGGTAAAGTCACACAAATTAAACATTGAAGTCCACGTTGCACAAAAATAAACACTGAAGTTTATAATTACTATGTTGTCTTTTTGTTTTTTGTTTTTTTGTTTTTTAGAGTGGATTATAATATTATATCTTTTAGTTTGTCAGTGCGTTTTGTGGTGTTAGGAATTTTTCTGCGCATTCCCGCACTAACTCAAAACGTGCGTACACCACCTCCTGAGCTGGTGTAGGATTTGAGCGTGCCGTACGCCAACGTCCATATTGATAAATCTCAAAGTCACCGTGGTTTTGGGTGTACGCAAGGTGTACACTGGACATTTGGTGTACGCACTTTTGATAAATGAGGGCCACTGTATCTGCGCCACTGATCACAACGGCAAGCACTTTGGACTTGATTTAAAAAACAACACATTTCAGATCGCCTTTTATTTAACAAACGAATTAAATGAATGCACTACAAGAATTAACTGGAGATGTTTTATTTGTTTGTATTGGTACATCCGTGCCACGCAATATTTCAATGGGGACATATCACACCCGCAAATTACGCCTATGCTCGTGTCTGACTCCTCGCTCGGTCAGTCTGCCGTTTCCTCTTTCTCTGTTCCTCCGACAATGCTTTCCTAGCTTTCTGCATCTTATATGCGGGCTCAGCCATGATGATAGTGTGACAAACTCCATCCCTCTCTACCTTGTTCCTGGATGGGGTGTGTATGTGTGCAGTGCCGTAAAGGAATATGTTACATCGCGAGAGCTGATATCACGCGATACTTCCTGAAACTGAGGCCAGACCAAAGTTTTAAGTGAGATTTTTCCACTCACAGGCACCAGGGGGGGGCGAGACGGCCACCATTCAACCCTAAAGAAGTCATATAACCATTTCAATAACTGTGAAGCTGTTCAGTTAAGCTAAAAAACTCAGAATCCTTTTAAGTGCAAGATGGGCAGCGCCAATCTGTCATATACATAGCATTACAATGAGAGCACGATTGTAATAGATTAGAATGTTGTAAATTCTTTATGCTTGACTTGACCGATATCAGCGCGCTGTTAACCACAACGAGAGTTACACGCAAATTGTTAGTCTTATTATGTTGTCTATGTCTGATTAATCTCATTCTGGACATGTTTGGTTTACTGACCGGTGTTCATTCACCCTTCAGTTTCAGCTCAAATGCAATGCTCGACACTATTGACTATGGGTTATTTGAGATGTTGTTTTTAGAAAGATATTTCTTTTTCAAAATCATTGATGATATTACAGTTTTTCTGAATTGCTAAAACACTAAACCCCATTATCTGAACTAAATTCTCAATAGCCTAAACCAATTTGTTGAATAAGTCACTCTGTCTGTAAAACTTTAAACAAGTTCCAGTAGTTAAAACACATTTTTCAAATCTCATGAACTCTTTTTTTTTTTTTTTTTTTTTTTTTGCAAAACTCTGAACACAGACAGGCAAAAGTTAAATACTACAACACAGTGTCAGCGTTTACACACGACTCAAAATTGTTCACACTTATACATTTTTTTCTGTAACTGCATGCTTTGGACTCTGTGTTCTCCATTTTTTGATGTAGTGTGATGTGTTATAATATTGACTCGTGTGTATGATCTGTAAGCATTGTTTGATTTTGAGCAGATAAAATGGTTTTGAGGTAATTGTTTGATTTTGCCAGAAAAGTCAGAGATTCTCTGCATGTGGTTTGTAATTTGGTTTTGTGTTTAAGGCTTTGAGAAAGTGAGTGATGGTTTCAAGAAATATGTTTAAGCAATTAGCAGTATTATTTTGTTGTCATATTTTTTATTTTTTTATTTCTCATAACAGTAGACTTGTTTTATTTAAAGTTGTTTCTCGTTATGGCGTATGCGAAAATGCTCAGTGATGACTGTAATCACTTTAATCATAAAAAATAAAATTAAATAAAATAAAAAGATTTGCAGCTACAATCTCCCATATACACAGCATTATAATGAGAACAAGATTGTAATAGAATGTTGACAATTCTTTGTGCTTCAGTTGCTCTTAACAATCCTATATTCGATTAATTAGATATATCCCTAACTATTACAACTTACATCTGCACAAAAGGACGCGAATGCGCATGTGAACTTGACCATGCTAGTTTGAAAGGGTAACTTAAGGGTAATTGTTAACCACATTCAAGTGTTGATACAAAAAGAATGCATGAAGCTAGAATAAAAAAGGTCCGTTCTTTCTGATGATATATTGCATGTTCAGATATTTAACAACCAATATTCTGGGAGCCATGACATTTATTGTGAAATTTATAAAAAATACATGGCGGGAAAGAGTTAAAAGCATCCTCCTTGTTTTTCACCAAGGGTAAGTGTGAGAAACGATATACATTTTGTACAATTTCTGATGGAAATGTGAGTGATTCACCCTGGTTGCCAGGGTGTTGCTGTGGGGTTGCAAATGTATTAGGTTTGAGAATTGTTTAACATTGTGTAAGACACTGTAGAACTGCAACTGTTCGACTAACCTGTGGATTCTCATAGGGAACTAGCACACTCTGTCGGCCTGTCACAGGGTCATCCACATACTGACTCAAATTATTGCCTTCCACCCGTATCAAGTGACTGGCAGGAGCTGTCTGACCTGGACAAAGAGCAGGAAAACAAAGCTTCTCAATTAGAGGAGACAAGAGGAATATGTGTTTGTCTGTTTGGCAATCTTTGGAATAATATACCAGGGAATAAAGGTGAATAATAAGAATGATGCACTGTCGCTGGATTTAAATAGTCAAATGCTTAAGAGTCTATGATTGGATCATTATTGAAATGATTATTATGCTTCTAGCATGTTATATGTTTGGTAACAGTTCTTCTAATCCTAATTGAAGGAGTGGGTAGCTTTTCATTTCTTAAACAACCATGTAGGAAGACACACCATGGTAATATTCCAGGATGACAATGTCAAAACTCATCCGGCTTAGTTTGTGAAAGAATGATTAAGAGGAACATGAAGAATCATTTAACAAATGTCCAGATTTTGAATGCATTGAAAGTCTTTGGGATGTGCTGGAGGAGACTTTACAGAGTCCTGGACTCTTGCACAGTCAATACAATATCTGGACCAAATATTGATGCGCCTCTTGATGGAAATAAATGTTGTGATGTTATTTCCATCAAGAGGTGCACTGCATACATTTTTGGTCAAGGTCTGTTGCCAAACATATAACATGCTAGAAACATAATAATCAATGCGATAATGATCAAATCATATACTCTTAAGCATTTGCCTATTTTAAGGGATACTTCAGGATTTAGCATTAAGCTTTGTATTAGTAGAAAACCTGTAGTATTTTCGAATTACTATGCTTTCCACCCTCATAACCCCCTGAGACGAGAGATTAATTTTTTTTGTCTGGAAAAAATCGTCATTTTGCGTCATCGGAGGATTTTTTGGCCAGAGGCTAAAGACTACAGTCCATCAACTGCAAGGGGCTGTCCCGCATGTTTTCAACTCGCACATAGAGGGTGGGATCTCACTCACAGAATGTACACATAGTGTCAGACATTGTTTTTTTTGTTGTTTTTTTTGGAAGCTAAGCTAGCAGGCTCTTGTTCTGTGGAGAAAGCTGAGTAGTAGGGGTTACCATCCTCTTTTTCCTGGACATGTCCAGGCATCGTTGTCCGGGATTCAGCTTTTGCTTTCTGCAGTCTCCATTCATTGTTTACATGCACACCTTTTATTTCAATCTAACTGAATTCATTCCGATTGGTGAATCTGAATGTAGTGTTTACATGAACGCTAAACAAGTGATCGGTTGATGTGCGTTTTTAGCCTGGTTCAACCAGACTCTAGTTCATTTCATTTCCACATAGAGTCTGGAACCGCTCCATTGAGAAACGTTTCCTTCCTTGTAGGCGGGTTCACTATTAAAGTTCAAATCTATTGGATCTGCCCAAAGTCACTCACGATCTGCCATAGCCAAACGCTAACGGGATGTCGTGAGTGACGTATGTCACGCGCCGAAATGGCTGGAAACAACAAGTCCGAATGATCAGAGGATTATGTTTACAATAGGATTTGATCAGAGGATTATGTTTACAATAGGATTTCAGTCAACGAGCGCCGCAGGTTTTGTTAATCTAGGAACAATTATTAATTCGAAATATATATTTGACACGAAGGACAGTGATATATTCATTCAACGGTGGAAGCTGTGTCTAATCATTACAAATACGCCGCTGTGGTTGTTTTCTGATCTGCCGCAAATGCTGTAGCAGCGAGTGAATGATCAGTCTTGTCTCTATCTGCAGATGTGTACTAAACAACAATTTTTCATATTACGTCTTATTGTTTCTTAATTACCTTAATTATGGTCTTCAAAGTATGTGTTTGTACATTTTTATGTGGCATTTAGTTTTTTTTTTAGTAAAACAAATCAACCATTGCCATCTAAAACTGAAAATCAAATATCTTCAAAGTATGGGTTTTTCACATTTTTATTTATGACAATTATTTTTAAAAAATCTACAACATGTAAAACTGACACACCAACCTCCTCCACGAATGCACAAAGGGGCTCAAAATGTTCTATTCATCACAAGAATCAGTAAATATACAGTTGGGAATATGAGCGACTGACATGACTCCTGAGCGGATCTTCAACCATAGTTTAGCAGCCAGGACTCGGGGCTTCCGAACACCGCGAACACCAGGCTAAACCGTCCGTCCAAAATGTCATGGTCATCGTGGACGAGCTGCCCAGCACAAACTTCCAAACTTTCTGCCTCCTTCACTTGGTCCTCCGTTGTGCAACAAGAGGTGAGACGATAACAATCCGGCTTTAAATTCTGTATATTCGGCAGTTTCTTTTCCAACAACGGACCGAATAGCTTTTCTCACGTCTTTCTCCGCTGCCATTACTGAACTCAAACTGACGCGCTTACATCAACGTCATCGTTCTCAGCCACTCCCTCTATTCGCTGATTGGTCCTACAAAAAATTGATTTCTGGAAACCTAAGGATATGGAGCGATCCCAGACGTAGTTACTGAAGTAAAATGAAATTGAGCGGAAGTGCGTAGGAGGGCGCAGCCAGGCTAGTGCGTTTTAACATTGCTAAGAAAATTCCCGCTCCTCTGTGAGAGATACGAGACCAGTGCGTCTCACAGGTGTCGCTCATCGGTAATCACGCCAACGGCCTCGCACCTTTCTCCCACGGCCCATATAGCCTTGTCCTGCTCGTAAGCCAAAAATACATTTTTTGGCTTTTCCCAGTCTAGAAAGCACCAAATTTTTAGAAAGCACCATTTCTTCTACTTAAATGACCCATTTTAAATACACATTCATCTTTCCTGAGGTGAAGCATCCCTTTAAATCCAAACAGCGACTTTTTTTGGCCAGGCAGTTTTTATATTAGAGTGAATAATGATAATAATAAAAGATTTATTTAAATAGTTGTTCAAATTTCTTTGTTAACCAATTGGCTTTATGCCCAGCTGCACTACTTCCTGAACTTCAGCCAGCTCCTTGTTTCCTGTCTGTCATTATTGGCCAAATTGATTAATTCAGGTGTGTCTGATTATTGTTGCCATGACTACTGAGGTCAAGCACACCTGAATTAATCAATTTGACCAATAATGGCAGACAGGAAACAAGGAGCTGGCTGAAGTTCAGGAAGTAGTGCAGCTGGGCATAAAGCCCATTTGGTCCATTTTTCACTTCATAACAGATGTCATCACATCATATACAGAAAGAAAGCATATTTACATTTTATCCCACTAACATGAACAGTCAAGCAACAGAAAAAGTTATTGCATTTAAACAGTAAAATGTCACAATATCAAACAGTAAAATGTCACAATATCAAACAAAAATGGAGTTTACAAACTTTCATTGAAGTCCCGTCCAAGTTCATGGTTAGGACAGCGTTTGACCACCTCTGTGACGTGTTCAGCCTTCTTGTAGATGGGCATGGCTCGTATCACGCTGCCGTTTGGGGGCGAGGAAGCAAGCTTGATCTGAATCGGACAGGTCTTGGCAATCTGACAGTACAGTTTCTTCAGCAATGGAGAGTACTGCAGAAAAAAATGGAAATAAACAATGGGTTATGCATAAGCATTTGAATCAATAATACTGCTTTAAGAGTGAAGCCAAGACAAAATGTTAAAAATGCTCATTTTTAATGGTCCTTCGTCCATCTTGGCAAAATGTTGGTCTTTCATTACACTAAACTCACACACATACACACACACACATGCCAGAGCTTGTCTAAAACTATAAAGACATCCCAGATATTCCCTCAAAAACCAAATGTACAGGCCTGCTTTGTGCGGACTTGTAATAATGTGATTCAGATTTTATGAAAGGGAGATTGTACACCAGGTGCGGCAAAAGAACAAATGTGATGAGCACTGTTTGCTGAATGCTACTGATGTTGCAATCATACTCATATCTTTAACTCATGGAGTTCATAGAGTTGTACAATTATGAAACTTAAATAGTACAGATGACATCTAACGTCTTTAAACCTGTCCCAAGTGTCAAGAATTGAACAGAAACCGCATTGTAAAACCAAAATAGTTGACTGAAAAAAAACTTGAAAAAAAAAATATATATATATATTATTTTCGCTATATTCGCTTTAGAGAAGTAAATAAGAAACATGTTATAAATAATTACATATATATGTAACACACATATGTATTACATATGTATTGATTCAGTAGTAAGTAATCAAAAAAGGCCGATTTACCCCACAAATAAAATGAATGTCAAAAAATACTTTCCTGAAGTCAATTATGACTAAAAGGAACTTTTTCTTTTTTATGTATATATATATATATATATATATATATATATTTACATTTCTTACTTAGTTCACAACACATTTTCTGGTAGAGAAACATTAATTTTATCTAAATATTTTTTTCTTAGCATCATTTTAACTAAAATTCTATGCCGCCAACAAAGTCCAACCCAGATCTGCCAATTTCATATACTGAATGATGAATTGATAATCTCGTAATATTTTAGTTAATATCATAATAAATTATAATATTTATAATATAATAGATATGAGGCATATTTAGGGATAAGACTATTATAGAGATTTGAACTGGGTCGGAAAGCAACCACCCAGAAAACCCTAACACATAGCATAGTAAATTGTGGAATATTGTCATTATGAGTTTAATTGTTCAGACCTAAACAAAAACGAAAAAAAAAAATTTCACTTTAATTAAACAATTCATTGTGATTTCACACCATTGATTTATGTTTTCTCTTCGACCTGATTGCTTCGTGTTAAACTGACTTTTTGGCTTAATTTAATGTTTTCAAATTTCATTTTTGAAAATGATGTTTTTAATCAAATAGGTCAAAAATGAGTAGGTCAGTTTACTTAAAGGGGTCATATAATGGTGCATTTACTTTTACAAGTTGATTGTACTGCAATGTGTGTTGTCAGTGCCTGTACACAACCATCATTTAATGATAAAAATCCATCCAGTGGTTTTGTTTTAATCTCCTTATATGTTTTTACCCTGCCTCAAAGCGAGCCGTTCGACAGTGTGACGTCACACGCCCCACGCCCCTCCCACGGATGTTGATTGACAGCAGTGTTTCAACACAGACCCGCCCTGAGCGAGCTGTCATCATAGACGATAGTCCTCATTGTTGATACACTGGAGCAGAATGGCGTCTAAGCGATTGTGTTGTTCTGTTCTTGGGTGCAATAACAAACACAGAAATCTTTCTGATGTTCCTAAATTTGAACCGCTGAAGACGCAGTAGCTGAGTTTTGTTTACGAAGGGAATATTCCCCACGATCAACGTCAATACTTTCTTGTTTGTGCGAATCATTTCTCACCAGACTGCTTTATAAACGAGGATCAGTATAAAGCTGGTTTTGCTAAGAAGCTGCTCCTGAAAAAACTAATCGGTACCAACTATTTATGTTCCCTCTGCACCTAGAGTTTTATTAATCTTTATATTAATCTTTGCAAATCGCAGAAAAAAGTTTTTCATGACCACGTCAATCTGTCAATGAACTTACGTATAATGTTACATCTGTAAACACAGCGTTCGTATCTCACTTCTCTACCCTGCCTGCCAGTGCATACAAAGATAAATCAAAGTGACATTAGGTTAACCAACCATTCAGAAATGTCCTCAAGCCTTAAGGCCCGTTCACACCGCCAGCGACACGCAGCGACAAAGCGACAAGATCCCATTCATTTCAATGGAGCGCTGGCGACATCAGGCGACACGAGCGACAGTGACCGTTGGCGACAGAATGTGGGCGTGTCACGCGACAAGAGACAAGCGACAAAAGTTGAGAATTTTCAACTTTATGCAAATGAGAAGCGATTTTCGCGAGCGACAACCAATAGGAAAGAAGACTTTCAGTGGAGCTCACGTCACCGTCAGGCAAGACAGAAAGAGTTTGAGGACGATTTCACTGTTTTATATGATTTGACTGTAACCACATACATGGATAATAAAATGATGCATGGAAAAGAAACTGTCGAAAGTCTCAGTGAGTTTAATTCATACATTTAACATTATAGTTCGAGTGTTTTCATTTTGTGATGCACGTTTAGCACTGCTGCAGTTCATTTTACAATTTCCCCTGCATGTTGACTATTAGGCACAAGAAAATTGATTATTTGTCAAATTCGAATGACGTTTTTATAATTTGTGACAGTATGAGTGAGTTTAATTTGTTCATTGATCGATCGTTGATCTAGTAAATGATTTAATCCACTGAACACTGACGTGGTAATATAAAAACACTCTCCCAACAGCATACGGTTTCTTTTTAGCCTTAAAAGTAATTTATTCCCAGTCAAATTAAAATTAGATAGTTGTATATATATCACTTGTGATGGTATTTTGTATAGATATGGCCAGACGCGCAGTCTACCAATAACATCAGAGCGACAGCACTGTGAACGCCCACAAGCGACATCACAGTACAGAGCCTAGAACGGGGCTTTAATTGTCGAACTTCTTTGCGGCCGTCATCTTGTTCTGGTGCGACTCCGGTTCAAATTGATACGGTTGCACAGTTGTGTCCTCAGAGACCGACTCCCGCTGCCATTCTCTCTCCAAAACCTTCAACTCTTGTCAAGGCAACACTCCACGTGCGTTCACACCCGCAGAACAGAGGGGTGGGGTTTATTATTTAAAGGCATATGCACTGAAACGGAGTGCTGAAAACAGAGCTGATTTTGACCAGGTAAAATGGTGTTTTCTTAAAGGAGCAAAACGCAAGTATCTGAGTTTTTGCAGAACTACGCCCCCTCTGGTGACAAGCGAAACTGCGTGCACGCTCACACACACGTACACGCACGTTTGCACGAGCTGTTCATAACCAAAGGAGCATCATGCGGCACACATCTTTTGTTACAGTTATAATGAGGTATTACAGTTATAAATCTGCAGGTCATTTAAAATATATGAAAGGAAAGGCATTCGAGTACACACTTATGTGTGTGTGAGGGGAAAACAGGGGTAGTAGAAAACTTCGGTTTTTGTTTCCATCTATCTCCATATTGAACTGTTTTATGTGCTTACTGTATCCACGTATGATTGTATAATTATGGAAACACGTTCATGAACAATATAAGTTATTACTTTGTATAGGACCCGTTTGAGCCCTAGAGCAGACCGGAGATCTCTCCGTTTGTTGAAAGCCTTCCCGATGTTGACTCTCGTCTTATTCCGACGCCTGGCACTGGGCAGACAGAAGTTGTATTTTCTTTGTCTCACGTGGAGTTTGCGTTGGGGTTTGGAATGAACTACAAGCCGGTCTCTTTGGGGCTGTTTACACCTGGCCACAATGTGTTTTCTCAGATCGGATAGCTATCTTATTTATCAAAACGATTCCATTACACCTGGTCACATAAATGTGTTTTTGCAAAACTGATATAATCTGATCTTCAATTCCTGCGCTATAGACAACAGAATTCATGAAGTGCACGTCACCGAAAGCAACAGATATGAGCCGCATTTTATTAATCATCGGCTAATTTCAAAATCAGCAAAGACGGCAATAAGAGAGAGCGGCAACAGCCCGGGTTGCCTGGTAAGATCATTTCATTTCTTTACTTTTAATGAAGATGGTAGTGTTAAGCATCTGCGACTTACTTTCACTTTGATTTGCGATAGATTGCGGCGCGCTGGCTTTATGAATAGACGCTCAGCTGCTCATCTAAGGTGATGCGCGTCATCATATATGACTAAAATAACATGACATAACCTATAGCCTGCTTTCAACAACCAGATGCATTTACACTTGCACAGTTTTGTCTGGAATACGGCCCAGACCACGTCCTCAAGTGATTTGAGCGATCGGATTCAAATCAGTCTCGAATGCGTTTGGGAGGGCAACCTGGTCTTTTCACGATCGAATAGCTATCCGATCACAGAAAACGCATGAAGTGACCAGGTGTAGGCTAAACAGCTCCTTTGAATCCATCTTCTACTTTTGTGGAAAGTTGACTAAAGTTGTCTTCTCTGATACGGAGAATGGCGGCGAATACCTGCAAGACATAGGCACATAGCCAGGCGAGCGTGAACGCGCATGACGTCACGGCCAGTCTCAGATTCGAGCCCGAATCCCTCTTTTTTATTTTACTGTACAGGATTATAGAGGCGATCTCCGTGATCAGAGAAGGGCTCATTCAGCCCATCAGGCGATTGTTTAAGCATGTATGGGTTAGAAAACGGCTATTTTTAACATGAAATGTTGCGTAATGCACCTTTAATGAGAATTTTTAATAAAAGTATATTACAAAGTTTTCATTTAGACCCTAAACATTCATATTAGCTTGTACAAAAATGGCATTATATGACCCCTTAAAACTAGATAACCAACACATTATTTTCAATATGTTGTCACTTGTCACAACATAAACCACTTTGCTTAATCCATTTGAGATGTTATCACATATTTTGTGCCAGTGTAAACACAGCTTAAAATCACTTATGCAGAGACTGACTAAATGATTTTAGGCTGTTTACACTAGAACAAAATATCCGATTTTTTTACTCACATCTGACACAGATCAAA